CTCTCTCATTGTCTTCCTCCCTTCCTCTCATCCACCGAACTTGCTCTTACGTAATTTGATTCTGTGTAATTGTGTTGTTCCGCCTCCACAGGAGATGGAGGATAAGAAGAGCAAAGGCGGAGTGGCGTGGGAAACTCTCTAATATATGTATATATATGTGTGTGTGTGTGTGTGTATTTATATATATGTATATATATATTCATATGTACAGTATATATTCATGTATATATATATATATATATATATATATATATATATATATATATATATATATATATATATATATATATATATATATATATATATATATATATATATATATATATATATATATATATATGTATATATATATATATATATATATATATATATATATATGTATATATATACGTATATATATATATATATATATATACTGCCGCGATAGCTCAGTGGTTAGAGCACAGGCCTCCGACCCTCGTGGTCCCGGGTTCAATTCCCCGTCGCGGCAGTTGTAAAAAATGCCTACGCTCTGACTGCTGACTCGAGCCCGAGAAAACGACATATCGCCTTGAGAAGTCACACGCAGGTGTCGTAGGGGAAGTCACCGCCGTGGCACAAGTGTTAACGCGCCGAACCGCGGTTGATTAGGAAGGGCATTCAATCAGGCAAGGGTGACACCGCCATATAACCTCTTAATACTGAATTGAGATAGGCCTATGTCCTGCAGTGGAATGAATGGCTGTTGAAAAAAAAAAAAAAAAAAAAAAAAAAAAATATATATATATATATATATATATATATATATCTATATATCTATATATATATATATATATATATATATATATATATATATATACATATATATATATACATATATATATACATACATACATACATATATATATATATATATATATATATATATATATATATATATATATATATATATATATATGTATATGTATGTATGTATGTCATTAAACGACAGCTAATCAAATTTGTGATTCAGAAAATATACGCAGAAATTGAGTTAGTTTATTTTGCAACGAACTGTGATATTTGATAGACTGTCTGGAATTGAAATCATGTGACACGGACACTCCTTGCTTACGATTCTCAGAAAAAAATAATTGGTGGAAATTGGTGTTACACAGTAGGAGAGTTTGTACAATTGGTATTGACATTATGTTTCCTATACTGTATTAAAGAGAAAGAGAAAGAAAAACGTTTTCCGTGAAGTTACCAAAAAAAAAGAAAAAAGAAAAGGTTAAGTGCATATTTTACAGTATATAGATATATATGTGTGTGAGACATTAGATAAACAGACCAACTATTATGTGAAATACATTTACGTTTCAGATAATTCGCATTGATTCACGCCATCATGAAGAATAGATATAAGCTATTTCTGAAGCTTTAATCTAGTATAAACTAAAGTAAACATCTCCTTGCTGTTGGCAAACGTATAGATTAAATCAAATACTGCACAACAGGATTTAACCCTCTGAATAAACGCGCACGATGCTCGCTTGTCATTCACTCGCTTTGAAAGGAGACTTGGAACCCGTTTTCTTTCGCCGGGTCATGGAGCTTATGATTCAAAAGGTGATTGGGTTCACGACCGACTGATAAGACGTTGATTGTTGACCATAAGAACGAGAGAATACTTTACAAGAAGATAGTGTTATTCTGAAGAGATTTGTTCGTCGGGGATTTATCGTTGACTTCAGTCGTGCTTGGAATAATTCTTATTATGAACGGACCTTTTACTCTTCCCTTTCTATTATGCAAATGTATTATTGATAATTACATTAATATTCATCTAATGACGTCTGTTTTGATGCAGAAACGTTCTGCGTATTTTGATTGCCAGTGAAGTACGAAGAAAAATAGAAATGCCAGACGGTTACAACACAGAAGGCTGAATTCATTTATCAGATGGCAAGGAACTTCCGACCAAACGCCTGAGAAAGTGTATGGGTATAGTCTTGTCTTGCTGCTGACTACTAGATACGGAGGGTGAGTCACGTTAGACAAATAAGTCTTTAGCAACGCGTTTAACGGCGTCAGAGAAGTGAATGTACGTCACCATACTATAAAGCGAATTCTTGATGACGTGCCTAGTGTGTATGTACATTTAGTGTGTATATAAATGTGTAATTTAGTATGCGAGTTCAAGGTGACCTTTGAAGATATTTCCTTTTATTTATTTGTCTTTGGGAGTGAGCTCGTACATGCCATGAAATATAAATAGATGATTAATAAATTGACGTATGTGGAGA